CAGGTGGCTTTTTTTTTTTTGATATCGACTTTTTTTAAGATATATTTTTTAATCGTTTTATTAGGGGCTCATACAACTCGTATCACAATCCATACATACATCAATTGTGTAAAGCACATTTGTACATTCATTGCCCTCATCATTCTCAAAACATTTCCTCTCCACGTAAGCCCCTGGCATCAGGTCATTTTTCCCCCTCGCTCCCCACTCCCTCATGAGCCCTTGATAATTTATAAATTATTATTTTGTCATATCTTGCTCTGTCCAACGTCTCCCTTCACCTACTTTTCTGTTGTCCACCCCCCAGGGAGAACGTGGCTTTTATTTTACCGATAGAAATGTAAGGAAGCAAAATTAATTGACTTCAGCCATCTTCCTTCCTTACAGACCATGGTACTGCAGATTTAACCACTGCCCCAATTCTTTTCTTCATAATTCTGATCGATAACTTCAGTAACAACCTGACCATCTTGAGAATGTAGGTTGGACCTTCCTAACAAAGGTCCTACAGTTCTTTTAGGCAGCAGACCCCAAATACCAGATTTAATAATCTTTGGTTTTAGCTTTTCCTCATAACTTTGACCAATAACTCCAGTATCAATTTGAATGCCTTGAGTACTTTGGTTAAATTTACCCAATAAAAGCTGTATTACCCTTTCAAGCAGAGGCTCCTGATCTTTGCTTTACCAAGCTGTTGGGGGGCACTCTTTAACCTTTTCTTGGCTAGTTAACTTGGCCCCCACATAGGCTGAGCTCTGAAAAGCTGATTCTAGATCCACCCTGTGCTGCATGGTGCTGCCGGCACTCCTCTGGAAAATGCCCGCTCTTTCCACAAGGAAACATTCTCTCTTAGGTTTGATTTCTAAATTTTCCTTTTCTGTTACTTCTCTCTCTACTTTAGAAAGCGAGAGCTGTCTGGCATTGTTTAATAGCCTCGATTTTGGCTTTAGAATTAACTTCTTCTGATGCAGTGGTTCTCAACCTTCCTAATGCCGAGACCCTTTAATACAATTCCCCATGTTGTGGTGACCCCCAACCATAAAATTATTTTCGTTGCTACTTCATCACTGTCATTTTGCTACTGCTATGAATCATCATGTAAATATCTGATATGCAGGATGCATCTTCATTGTTACAAATTGAACATAATTAAAGCATAGTGATTCATCACAAAACAATACGTAATTCTATATTGTGGAATATTTATTTCTAATGACAATGAAATGTTGTCTGGAAGCATGGTGTAGCATGGCTCCGTCTTCACGCAGGTACTCCTCATATGTGGGCGTATGTGCATGTGGGCGGACCCGCCTGGAGACAGATAGAGGAGTGGTTCCTAAGACCATCGGAAATATGTGTTTTCCTATGGTCTTAGGTGACCCCTGTGAAAGGGTGGTTGGAACCACAAAGGAGTCACGACCCACAGATTGAGAACTGCTGTTCTAATGCTTTATCACCTTTAGGCCTTCGGAAGCTGCAGTCCCCTGCAGAGGCTTTGGGCAGGAGGTTTTGTTTACAATTGGAGGCTGTAGATAATGGATCAGTCCCTGCTTCTTCAGCTGTTTCTAAAGCTTCATCACCTAATTTATACTCATTTAAAGAGACTTTAGCTTGCTTTTCTAGATCTGGATAGCTCACACAAGACTTCTGACCAAACTTATAACTCTCTTTCTCTTCCTCCTGCAGAGGTTCTAAAACCATCTTAAGTTGAACCCACAGAGACCATGTCTCCACGGGGATATTCTCCCTATCTCTATGCCTTCTTTAAGTTTGTACCGTTTCCTCCCAAGTTCCCAGATCGAAAGTTCCTTCCTCTGGGCACCATGGATTACACTGTTTCATGACTTGAAGAAAACCTTGCATCTTTTTGTTACTCTTACGCTTTTTTTTTTTTTTTCAGTAAATGGATTAAGCATAATATTGTAAGTTTCAGGTTTACTTTTACCTCGCCCTATTGTCCTCTTTAAAATACTTACTCTATTATTATTATTACTAATACTGATCTGCTAGTCCCCCAACCGGATCCTCACTTCAAACAATCTCCCCATTCACTCCACTTCTGATGGGTTACGCAACCATCGCACTGAGTAATTTCTCCTCTGGGAGACCTTCCCTTGTCCCTGTTATGTGGCACCAAATTGTGGGGCACCAGCCCCCACAATCAGACGGCTTCAATGGGCCATTGTGTAATTGAGGGGTAAAATTAAAGAGACATCAGACAAGATAAAGCATGCGATTGCTCACCTCCAGGACCAGCATGACTTCAGCAGCCAGAGCCTCAGAGAGAGAGAGAGAATATATTTCCAACCAAGGCTTATATACACTCAAGGGGCATGCAAGCGCCCCTAATTACAGGCAACCACATGCATAACAGAAAGGGGTTGTACAATAGGCATAAGTGCGACAAGAAGGGACACGTTAGGGGTGTACATGCAATAGGAAGGGGAGGCACTAGAGGCATATATGTGACAGGAAGGCATACAAGTTACAAGATGGGCGGGCTCCAGAGTCCAGATGGCAGCCTAACCTTGGTCCTCCCTGAGTTGGCTTGGCCTTAGATGCCTTTGGGCTCTCCTCCAGGGGAACCATCCGTGGTTGAGTGGGCTCTACTTAGGGTGGACAGACTGCTCAAGATGGCTGATAACCTTCAGGCAGATAACCTTTACCAGTTGACCTCCAAGTGGATAGTCTGTATATGCCTTAGGTTTGGCATATATTACGGTGGGGGGACAACCTGGGGAATAACTTTTGTGCTGCCCACACATCTCGACTGAATCTTAGATCAATTTCAGACTTTGTTAATTGGTAAAAGTCTTCCATTTATTTACCCTTGTTATTGGGGGCTGTTGTAGACATCTGAGTAGCAGCCAGCCGTATTCAGTGGTCATCCCTGTAGGTAAGGTGGGATGCATTGAGTGAGATGCTGTCCTTCTGCAATCAGTCCCTCCTGGCATCGTCTGGTCAGCTCACTAATGCCAAGGACAGTTCCTTGATTTCACCTGGATCACTTCCAATTGTCCTGAACTCATACTTGTATATTCCATGTTCTGACTGTTAGTGGACTGTATTAGTCTAGGTAC